TGGACAGTGTTTACCCAACAAACTATTATACCAGAAAAATTGAATGCTACACTTACAAAGGGCGGCATCATTCCCCTAAATTGCGGGGGCATGGGGCCTGGCGGAGGGGGGCCACCCTGGCTCCCATTTATATTGGGTGGGAGGGGGCTAGCTCCCATGGGATGCATCATGGGTCCTTTATCTTTCAGCTGGTTACCACCCTCTCCCTCTACACCCGGACCAGCCCCCGCCCCCGCCCCCGTCCCACTGCCAGTGACTTTGTTGAGGGAACTGCCTCCTTCTCGCCAGCTTGCTACATCTGCAGAGGAAGATCAGAAATGATCATTAATACTATACCAGCCATAACGCTTCAGGTTTAGTGTAAACAAAACAAAATCTTGTAGGAATTGTTAGGGTTCTTTTAACCCCTTGACAAGGGGAATTTCTTCCCGAAAGCTGACCCCAAGAATTCCAGCCTCGCTTGGCCATGAAAGCCACCTGCCAAACCGCAAATTCTCAGTTTGTGGCCCAGCGTGCTCTGCACGCTTTGAATTACATGGTGAAAAGGCTGATTGTTCGGTGGCATGCGGCTCTACTCACGCCTCCACATTCCCGTTGCCTCTTTTCAAAGTGGGGACTATTGTGAAGCTGGTGATTATGATGCAAATTTGGTCTATGAGCCCAAATTTTTGCCGTATTTTTCGGAGTATGGGCCGCGCCTTATACATTGATTCTTACACTAGAAAATGTCCCTGTGGCTTATACTCTAGGCGATACAGCAACATTTTAAGAATGGTATCAGTCACGGACATCGCGCAATGCCTGAAGGCAACCCAGATAGCCCAGCCTCGTGCAAGCATGCTATGGCCAAGAACAATGCATTCCACGTTTTTGTTGGTTGCCGTTTCCGTTCACTCCACTCACGTTGGAAATAAAGGAAACCAGTCCAGAGGGATCAAACAGACTTGCCAAGTTCTGTTAGTACCATTTACAACTCAAAATTGTGTGATGCGACTGTTCGTTTTTGTTCGTTTTACTGTTGTGTAATCGACGTTTATTTTATCATTTAACTGTCATAAAGAAAAGAAAATAAAATCTTAAAAAATGCTGCAAATCCCACCCAGCTACAAAATTTATCCATCTCACCAAAATTAACAATTTTGAGGACTTAGGAAAGTTTTAATAGCGACACCTTGTTTGGGCGCTCACAATTGAAGACTGCATACCCTGAAGTGTGAGGATCCTAAAGTGCCCTGAACATTAGTGTACTCTTGGAGCAATATTTAAGCTCAAATTTCACAAAAGGTTACACTTTATCAAACTCCTTATATTTTGATTTCAATTTCACAAACTCACTATCAAATTCAGACGAATTTTAATTTCAGCCTGAATTTTTTCTGGTGTGCAACATGAACTCTTTTAACCCTTCTATGGTTTTACAGCACAAATGTGCACAAATGCCCACAGTCAC